TCAATGTCTTTTCATGATAAAAACTCTGAACAAACTAGGAATARAGAGAAATTACTTCAACATGATAAAGTCCATAGAGGAAAATCCCTTTGCTAACATCCTACTAGTTATGACTTGAATATGAGATGTATTCTTTTGTTAACTCAGGAATATTCAGAGGTAAAATGATTAGATTATAAGAACTATAACCTAACTGGTGGATTAATCCATTTGCTGGATTAATTATTTGAATGGACAAACTAGGTAGTAACTAGAGGCAGGTGGGGCATGGCTGGAGGATGTGGATCACTGGGAGCATGCCCTGGGGATTATATATCTTGTCCTCCTGGCTCTTTTTCTCCCTTCAATTTTTTTCTTTTCACATCTCTATTTTATTTTTATTTGTTCTTTTTAAATAAACACAACAGTGGAGTGTATTTTGACATATTATACATACATGGTGTGTATAACTTATTCTAATTAGGATCCTAATCTTGTGGTTGTACATGATGTGGAGTTACCCTGTTTGTGTGTTCATATATAAGGATACTAGAGAAATGCAAATTAAAACTACACTGTGATTCCATCTCTCTTCAATTTTTAGTTGCCATGAGGTAAGTAGCTTTCTTCTGTCATCCTTTCATCGTGGTGTTCTGCCTCACCCAGACCCAAAGTGATAGAGTCAACTGACTATGAACTGAACCTCTGAAACTATGAATCCAAAATAAACTTTTATTCCTCTAAGTTTGTTCTGATGGGTGTTTTGGTTATAGCAATGTAAAGTTGACTAACATGGTACTCAATGGTTATAAACAGAAAGCTTTTCCACTAAGATCAGAAATAAGGCAAGAATGTACATTCTCTCTACTTCTATTCAACATAATAATGGAAGTCCTGGCCAGGGTAATTAAAGAAGAAAAAGAAATAAAAGAAAGCTGAATTGGAAAAAAATAAACAAAATTTCCCTATGTGCAGATGACATTATATAATATATAAAATCTCTAAAGACTTCCCCCCAGCTCTGAGAACCAATAAAAAAATTTAGCAAAGTTGCAGGATACAAAATCAGTTTGGTTTCTATGCACTAATAATGAACTATCTGAAAAAAAAATTAGAAAAATCCCAATTATCATGGTATAAAAGAATAAAATATTTAGGAACAAACTTAATAAAAGACTTGTAGAGTGAAAATTAAAAAACATTAGAGAAGGAAATTAAAGAAGATTGAACAAATGGAAAGACATCTAGTGTTCATGGGCTGGGAGACTTATTATTGTTAAAATATTCATCCTACTCCAAAGTGTTTACAGATTCAATGCAATCCCTATCAAAATCACAATGGTCAGTGTTTACAGATTCAGTGCAATTCCTATCAAAATCACAATGGTCACAAGTCTCGGGTTCAATCTCCAGCACCAGAAAAAAAAAAATCACAATGTTGTTTTTTACAAAAATGGAAAATAAAATTCTAAAATGTATATGTACCATAAAAGACCTCATATAGCCAAATAATCTCAAAAAAAGAAAAACTGGAAGCATTGCACTTCCTGATCTCAAAATACACTACAAAGATACAGTAATGAAAATAGTATGGCACTGGCACAAAGATATACATATAGATCAATAAAACAGAATAGAGAGCCCAAAAACAAATCCATGTGTGTATGGTCAATGATCATCAGCAAGCATGCCAAGAACACACAATGGGGAAAGGATATATCTTCAAACAATGTGTTAGAAAATTGGATGTCSACATGCAGAAGAATGATCCTGAATCCTTTATTCTAAACAAGAGCATCAACTCAAATTAGGATTAAGGATTTAAATGTAAAACCCCAAACTGTGAAACTTTTAGAAGGAAACAGGTGAAAACCTTCATAACGGTAATCTTGGCAATGATTTCATGGATATGACACCAAAAGCATAGGCAGCAAAAGCAAAATTAGACAAGTTGGACTATATCAACCTTAAAAGTTCTACATAGCAAAGAACTGATCAATAGAGAGGAAAGGCAACATATGAAATGGGASAGAATATTTTCAAATCATATATCTGATAAGAGTTAATATCAAAAATATATGAAGAAGTCCTATAATTCAATATCAAAAAAATGAACACACCTTTAAAAATGGGCAAGATCTTGACTACGCATTTCTCTAAAGCAGACTTACAATAGCCAAGAAGTATATAAAAAATGTCAGTGTCACTAATTACCAAGAAAATGCAAATAAAACTACATGAAATATCACCTTACATCTGTTCAGATACTTTTCAATAAAAAGACAGTATGTGTTGCCAGGAGGATGGAGAAATTGGAATCTTGTACACTGTGTGGGAATGCAAAAATAGCTGCTAAGGAAAAAATATGGAGGTTCCTCAAACAATTAAAAATAGAACTTCCATAAGATGCAATAATCCCACTTCTGGATATATATATATATATATATATATATATATATAGAGAGAGAGAGAGAGAGAGAGAGAGAGAGATATAGATAGATAGATATACCATTGTGCTTATAGATAACAATACTATATTATACACTTAAAATTCTAAAAGGGCAGATCTCACTAACTGTTCTCATCAAAATAAAATAGAAGACAGAGCAAATGGTACTTGCAATGTAGAACTTGTTAACTAATCTCTAAAACTCTGCATGTTAACTGATATCAGAATCTTGAAAAKATATCAGTAACTACCTTGTTCAYTGCAGARCTATTCAGAATGGTCAAAATAYAGAAGTAACCTAAATGTCTATTTACAGATGAATGATGAATAGACAAAATAATAGCAGTAATAATGTGATATATATGTATAAATAAACAACCATATTTATTTATAATTTATTAATATAGTTTACATACACAAGTAAGTATATTTATTTACATTATGTATATTTATAAATACTTATACATATGTTTACTTATAAATATTTTTATTTATACATATAATGAAATATTTTATTCAGTCTTTAATAAGGAATTTTGTAASGTGCAACATATGGATGAATGTTATATTAAGTAAAATAAATCAATCAAAAAACAAAAAATACTAYATAATTCCACTCATATGAAGGTATCTAAAGTAGCCAAAATTGCCAGGTATGGTGGCATTGCCTGTAATCCCAGCTACTTAGAAGGCTAATGCAGGAGGATTATAAATTTGAGGCCAGCCTGGACAAGTCAGTATGCACTTGTCTCAGAATAAAATAAAAAGGTTTGGGATATAGCTCAGTGGTGGAGTGCTYGCTTAGCATATATAAAACTGGGATAATCCCTAGGATGACAAAAATAAATAACAGTTTTCTGATCTTGGCTCTGGCCCTTCAATATCTGCTGCCAATAACACTGAGACAATAACATGGTTACCTCTTAGAATGTAATTCTGAGAGCCACATCCTCATACACTTAGTARTTACTGATATGACTCACTTCCCTTAGTATTAGTTCATGCTCAGTTTTTATAACCACTGTAGTCCACCAATGGTAGCTTGATGGGACACTAGAGATGGGACACTGGAGACTTGGTTATCATTGACACCTTCTATGACAAATCTCACTATCCCAATTCTATTCTATCATGTTTTACTGGACATTCTACAAAGGAACCGGAGATTAGTTTGCCTTGGGAGACCTACACAATAATTTTTTCATGCATTTGTGGATTGAGATAATGGCTATATGTCTAAAACATATTTCAGAAATCAGAAATAGGAAAGCTCTCAATGGACAAATATTTAATTGATGTCATTTCTAATTCTTGACGGAATGAGAAAAATCAAACAATTCCATCTGAAAAGAATTTCAGTTCATCCTGGCTATTAAATTCCCTTTTGAACAYAGGATTAGATATTCAGATTATCAAGACAAATTTAGATAATGAAATAGTTAACTTTTCAGGCTAAAGTAAGTTAACAGTAAGTGCAAGTCCTGGATTTGGAAAATTCTCCATCTCTTTGCTAAAGACCTGCCTCAGGGAGTAAGAGAGAAGTTGAAGACATAATGCACCTTGTTTTTCAGGAAAAAAAGTAGATAATCTTTTTATAATCATGGCATTTTAGAGCTGGAATTAACAGATAAAAACATTAGTATTAGACCTAGTCCTCTAATTTTATGAGTGAGGGAAATGAAGCCCAGAAAATTCAATGACTTACTCAAGGTCAAACAATATCAAGTTGTTTTTAATCATTTGTAGAARAATAAAAACTTTAAGTCAATCAAATCATTACAAAAATGGAGAACACTGGAAATAAAAGAGGGTCTTGGAGAAGAGAGACAAAGAGAAGAAGTGCAGGGAACAAATAGTATGGGCCCTGGAGCTGGCCCTCTGGTTGTGTCCCTGGGCACTCAACTTCCTTTTATTATTACTTTATCAAGTGTGTGCAGAGCCAAGTGCCCTGATGCAGAAACACAGTATTGTGATAAAGATGATAATWAAAACAAAACTTAAAATGATGTAAAACCATCGAATGTTCTCACAATAAATCTATAAGGTAGTAAGTGACCATGTTATGAATGTAAAAGGTAAGGTAAACTTGCCTGAGATCACACAGTTGGTAAGAGATAGAGTCAGTTTCTAGGAAGTTTGATTCCAGAACTGGAAGGAGATCCTGTATTTCAGAGGATCTAGGGGCATATTAGTAGACGCTGGATCTGTCCAGTTCTCCTAAGCTCCTTTAGACTTTTGTCCTCTGCTGAGACTCAGAACCCATTTCTGACAAATGCCACTTTAGAAATGGTATACACAAACAAATTTCCAAAGCACATAAGTTATATTCAAATGTGAAACAAATAAATAAAAAAAAAGATGAGCATGCTGCCAAAGACAAGTATGAGGATTCACAAACCATGAGAATCCCTCCTACTGAAATACATAGATGTGTGGTAAAAACATCAAGCACTGAAAGGACCTGGGATAAGACAATCCACCAATGCTAAAGGTCAGAAAGAAAGTTGCTTCATCTAAGGATTTGCTGACAAGGTGTTTATCATTCACATTCTACTAACTGCAAAGGACTTACTCAGTTTATTGATATGAGGAATTAAAATACTCCATGTGTCTAAATATTCAGCTCTAAAGCCATCCATGGAAAACAAGATAACAGGTGGCAGGTCAAACCTAAAAATGGAAAACAAAAAGTTTATCCATGATTTTAATTGATAAAAACAAAAATATACTTTTCAGTACTACTTATAATTCTCTGAATTAGAAAATGCTTAGAAAGGASAGTAAGAAAAGTTCAGAGTCGAGTAGCAACGGTTGAATTTCAATGCAATTATGTTATGAAATTTAGAAAAATGTTTAGGAGATGTTTTATYTTAAAGTTCTACATATTTGACTTTGTATTCTAATATCTCAGAATATTAACATACTCCTCAAAAGCATTTCAATCTCTTCTTTTTAGACTGGTAGTTAAGGTAAAATGATTAAAGATGGCTTTTGGATTATAGCTAAAGGCTATTGTTATTGTTGTTTAATTTAATACATTTTCACTGTCTTTGAGTTTTATCCATATGACACACATGTAGTTTTATCCATATGACACACACGTACACACATACACACACACACAGACACACACACATATTCACAGGTGTATGTATATTCTGATAATTGTTTTCTAACTGAACTCAGCCATGTTGACATCACCAAGATCAAGATCACTGGCACCCCAAAGTTTCCCCTGGTGCTTCCCTCTAGTCAGTAAACTCCACAAACCAAAGCCCCAAGCAGGATGAGCAATATCTTGAYTTCTAACAGCATAATTAATTGTAGCTACTTTTGTACTGACATTTACATGTAAATTGAATGACACAGTATACATTTCGTTAAGTCTGGCTTTTTAAAAATATATATTTTTTTAGTTGTAGATGAACAWATAGTATCTTTATTTTTATGTGGTGCTGAGGATCGAACCCAGTTTGTCACATGTGAGAGGCAAGCACTTTACCACTGAGCTACAGTCCCCGCCCCAAGTCTGTTTTTTTTTTTTTACTTGACATTATGATTGAGATTAATCCATCTTGTTGCATATAGTTAAAGATCATTTTTCCAGTGCATGAACAGACCACAAACTTATTCATTCTATGTTTAACAGGGTGTTTTTCAAATTGGGGCTACTATGAATAGCAGATATGAACAGAGTAAATTTATTTTAAATTCCAAATACAATGAACACAAAGGAGTATACAAAAGAAATTATTTTCAACTCCGCTCAAGCAGTTATACAAATAAAATTTTAATAAAAACATACAAACATASTTGCCTAAAAATTTTGGCTAGAATACATCTTAAATTTATGATAAATTACCTAAATATGATGAAAAAGAAAGTTCTGAATGCCTATGCCAAATAAAAATTAGACAGTTATGTCTGTGCTTTGGACATGCTTGAGTGAAGCTAAAGGAAAAAAAAAAACAGTGTCTCCATTTAATTTCACATTGCAAAATAAATTATGAGAAGCATATAAAGAAAGGGTCTATTAAACTTCCCAGATTACACATTTATTGTAGAGTATTTCATTTAACAAATAKCTGAGTCAGACACTCTGCTAGATGCCTAGAAAAAGAGGCAGAGAGGAGTTGCAGTTCTTGTCTAGGGTATAAAATTTAAAAGTAAACAGGGTAGTTGAGGGCTAGATTTGAGTACAGATTGTGATTCAAGTGTATAGAAGGATGTCAAACTCAAGCTCTGTAAGGTGAGGGCAGGCTTTCCAGGAGGCGTGACATGAGCTAAGTCCCAAAGAACTAACAAAAATAACTTGAAAATGGGACTAATGTTTTAATCAGGGATTCTGTGCAGAAGCCCATCTGAGAGATTCAAAATGTGCAACAACATGTGAGTGTCAAAAATCACTGGATTGAACTGAGGTTGTAGTTCAGAGGTAGAGTGTTTGCCTAGCACATGGGAGACCCTGGGTTTGATCCTCAGCACCACATAAYGATAAATAAATAAGGTCATTGTGTCCATCTACAACTAAAAAAAAATTTTAAAATCATTGGATTAACCTAAAAAATCCAGATACAAGAGAACATATGGTATAATTCCATTGGAATGAAGTTCTAAAACAGGAATCTATAGTGACAGAAATCAGAACAGGGATTGCCTTGGGGGAGTAGAGGGTGAAAAGAGACATAAAGCATCCTTTTGTGATGGTGGGAAATATTCTCTATCTTGCAAATATTAGATTATAGGGAATTTCCAAACACTTAAAAGATATGGGCATTTCAACATATACACTTAAGATATGAGCATTATGTATGAATTATATGTAAGAATTTAAAAATGAAATAATGAACTACAACATGAAGTAATTTCATCAAAAAAAAAAAAAAAACAAAGTGTCCTGGTGTAATTTACATTAGAAATTATCTATTTTTTCAGTCTTTGGCATAATTCTGATTAAAATTTTATGTTCACAAATATATTATCAAAATAACCCTGTAGAGGATTGCAAGTTCAAAGCCAGCATCAGCATAAGTGAGGCTCTAGGCAACTCAGTGAGACCCTGTCTCAAAATACAAAATAGGACTGGGGATGTGTCTCAGTGGTCGAGTGCCCCTAAATTCAATCCCCAGTAACCCCCTAACACMCCCACAAAAATAACCCTACAACTTAAAGACAAGGTCAACCATCCATGGGACCACAGGTGGGATCCAAAGGTCCAGTACATCTCTTTCTTAATGTCCTTCCTGCCTCTAAGCTTGTTACTCAGAGCTCCAGAGCACATTTATACACTGCTACCACGAATGTCCTTGTAGTTCAAACAGCCTTAATTATCTCCTCAGGCTACATTGCTAAAGATGAAATTTTCTGATATAAGGACAAATTCTCAAAGGAGACTAAAATATTTTGTCATGATTCTCTTCCTGGCAGTTTTTATCAATTTGTTCTTCCAAAATCAAGACAAGTGGCAGTTACTTTGTACAAATAATGGTGTATTGATAATTTTATGGAATGAATTGGTTAACTTCCTTTCATTTTAATTGCTCTAATTTCCAGTAAAGTTGATTGTTACATCTGCATTACTTTTATTATCTACAATGAAGCTTGAATAAGGGAACTCTCTATACAAGAATTGTCATCTTGCACCTATTATTTCACATCACCATTAGCAAAACAAACAAACAATAGAATTTATGACACACCTCTAGTTTATCAGTGAGACAGAGAAGATCAAATAAGTTACTCAAGGTGTCCCACTGCCAGGAGAGATAGAGCTAGGCTATTGGTCTATATCAGCCTGACTTAAGAGCCCACAATTTCTTACTATACTTGGATCACTAGTAAAATAGTAAGACACACAAATAAGCAAACAGAAATGCTAGTTTAAATGTCCAGCAAGAAGGGTCTATCTTCTTCCAAATATCAATAAGAGGGAGAGTCTTAGAGTCATACACACAAAAAATTCTTCCCCTCTACCTCTTCTGTCAGTTGCACAGTGCCGCAGCTTCAGACTATCATTTGAGAGAGCACCAAGCCACGGAGACTCTAGGGCCTTGCTCCCAGAGTTGACTTTCTGCCTCCAGCAATCATAGCAGTGTAAACTGGGGGCAAGGTGCTTCACAGCTATATGCCTCCATTTTATTAAATGAATGACATGGCAAGGGATATAGATAATAGAGCCTACTTCAAAGGATTTTTATAGGAATAATATAACATGTAAAATGACTCTGTGTAAAGTTCATACCAGTACCTCATAAGAACTATATAAATATTAGCTGTTATCATTATTATTTTATTATTATTTTAGTGCTGAGAATGAAACCCAGGACCTCATGCATGCTAAGCCTGCACTATACCACTGAGCTACATCCCCAGCCCAGCTGTTATCATTATTATGCTTTTGTCAGAGATGAATTATCAGTGTAATTTGGACCCTGATAAAAGTCCATCTGAATCTATGCTAATTAGTTCTGGGAACACCTTAATAGGTTCAAATGTCAGGTTCATCTAAATAAAATAAGTGACTAAAGAAGAATCCCACAAGAAAAATATTAACTTTTTGAGTAACTAGTGTGTACCATACACCAGAATTAAAGTTAGACTATTGTTTTAGAAGGTAACAAATATTTCCACTTTCTTAGACCACTTAATTCTCACATGAAATCTTCTGAAATTGGCATTATTATTATTATTCAATTTTATATATGAAGTTCAGAGAAGTTACTCTTGCCAAGACCCACAGGCAAAACCAGAACTCCAACTCAAATCTCTTTTTTATTCTAAATCCTTTGCTCTTCCACGCATAAGCTGCTAAAGAAGACAGCTAGATCTGAGGATTGGGACAAACCAAGGTAGCATAGTACAAAAACAGATGCATTTTATCCATCAATAAGAAAAAATTCTTAAGATTCTTAAATTTAATTGCAAGGATGAAAGGCCCTACAGATGGGAGGTTAATTAGTTAACAAACTATAGGCCAAGCAGAATAAAAGTCCACTTTACATTCCTGAATGAATGTTAAAACTTAACTCAAATTCCATCCCAACCCCCTAGGTGCCAACACATCCTACTTGCAAACCCCATCTCCTATTCCAGAAACAGCAAGTAGATTGCCCTCCTGCTCTAAAGCTTGACACTCTGCTTAATCTCTCCAGTCTTTTTCATTGCCAATGTACGTTCAATGTGAACAACCTGTGCCTTCCTTCCCCAATTTTTTAGGCTCGCTTTAAACTCATGAGCTCAAGCAATCTCTGTGCCTTAGTCTCTAAATAGTTGGAAATAGGCCACTCTATGGTTCTGTACACATTTTTTAAATGAAATAATGCTATTTTTTATGTGTTCAGCCAATTCTTCCTAAAATCAGGTACTTCTTACTTCTTCTTCCACCTCACTGTCATGCTTCCATTGCTGGGCCCAGAAAAGTGTGAAGGGCATGGTGGACAAAGGAAGGAATGAAAATATACCCCTGCTTGGAGGCATTCTGGACATCTTCAAGCCTGGAAAAAGCTGTGCAAGCAGCTGTCATAAACTTATGAAGGAGAAGCATGGGTTGAATGGCTGTGAGGCGGGGGGTATTAACCTCACATGTTCTTTACCTGTACTAACTCAATGAGGCCCACTTTATCCATATTGTAGGTTCTTCCTTATCCTATATGACCTTCTGTGAACCTCTTCCCCATCCCTCAGTAAAAAAGAAGAAATTCATACTGCCAAGATATTAAAAGAAAAATGTTCTAGCAGAAGTAGTTTCAATCTAAATTCCAGTACTAACCATAGAACCTTGGGAATGTTACTTAATATTCTAATCAACTTTTAAGTCAATGTTGGGAACCATAAATATACTAAATTAACATAAAGAACTTTGAAATGATAAAGCAAACAAGTCTATTGTCTTTGAATCCACAAGGAATCCAATCTTTTTTTTAACTATTCTGTTTTGAAAAATAAATAAAAGAAATGCCACTCTGTTTCTCAATTACTGTCCCATGTGCCAGCTGTCAAAGAAAAGAAATTCCCAACATCACTCATGCTCACCCTTCTGGACACTGAGTCTGCTCAGCTGTGGTGCAGCCTTCTTCCACCCAAGAGGTTTTTCCTGCAAAGCAGAAGATCAAAATCTTCAGACTATTGTACCACACACAAAAAAGGGAAGCAAGTATTCAGTGGACATGATCTTCCTGAACTGCTTAATAGTGTCACTCCAATAACTAAATTCTTCCAAAACATATAAGTGCTATTTCACAAGTTGGCAAGGACTGTGCCTGTAATAACTTGCAGAGATCCGTAATCTGTACCAATTGAATGCCAGGAAGCCAATCTACGGAGGAAAAAAAAAACGGGATTCCTTCAGCTATAAAGGGACATTTCTTTCTTTCTTTTTTTTTTTTTTTGTTAATAGTTTTTCAAATTCCCTACCTCCCCATAGACAATATCTTCTCTAGAAGCTGCTAAAATAAGTCAGTTTAATAAATATAAATATACAATCTAGAGAAAAGAATATGTGGAAAAAGAAATAACTAATGGAAATAATTATATCAAGTGGGCAAAATTTAACAAATGATTAAAATCTTAACAACAACAAAAAAGTTCTTGCTTCATGGATATTTCTCCTTTTAGTGCATTCCAGCTAAATAATAAAGTGGAAATGATAGAGGATGAATGTCACCATTTGCAACCCTGAATGGATCTAGGAATAATTTTCAATGTCTAATATTCCCAAAACAACACAAGTAGACATGATGGACCTCTGGATGAAAGTAGCACTGTCATATATAAAGTAACTTGCAAAAAAAAAAAAAAAAGAAATATATAAATTACATCTTAATCTCAACAGTCCTCTAGCTTTACCAATTTTCAGGAAATGTATGGTATTATAAATTTCTTAAATCACAAAGGATGCAATCAGCAAAAATTAGAATGGAAAACTTTATTGGAAAAATGACCCCATTTCTCCAATTGCAAGTAGGAAAAAGAAGAGGGAAGCATATATTTTTAAAGGGCTTAAAATATATCAGTCAGTTGTAATAAATAGCATCTATTTGGATCCTGCTTCAATCTTTTAAAAAAATATTAGAAGACAAGGAGAAGAATTTGAACTCTGGGTATTCAATSACCATAAATAATTATTAATGATATTTTTAGGTGAATGAATGGTATCATAATTTTGTTAAATACTTATCTTTTTTACATACATTCTGAAACTAATTGCAAATGAATGATGTTAACTCTAGTRTTTGCTTTGAAATGATCTAAAATTTTGAAAGAGAAATGGGGGAAAATGAGGAGTATATTTTGTTAAGAAAAACTCCAAAAGAAACAGGCAAAAGTAGGACTGATCACTAGATTTTGTATTAATGTAAAGCTTGAAATTATCTAAAAAGCTTATCTATGTATTATTTAATTACCTAGGTGTATTACCTTTATCTAGATTACTCATTATTACTCATTTTACAACTCAATGAGAATTGTAGTTAACCAATAGAAAACAAATAGCAATAAACAACAATTGAATCTTGTCTGATAGCAAATAAATTTTTCTGTAGAAACACAAATAATTTCTATCATACCAAAAGCTGGAATTTTAGTGATTTTTTTCCAACTTTCTTTCAGTCCTCTATTCATTTAATCTCTTTGATTCTCTTTGAACAGTCTTTACATTCTAGTTGGCTGTCTCATTAAGAGTTAGTAAATCTTTGACTTGCTCACTTTACATTTATCTTAAAGTCATGCTATCTTTTTGAAAATTATGTTTTGTCAACATGAAATAGACTCGGCCATGACTAAACATGTTTTTTTGTGTGTGTGTGAGAAAAACATCATGCTATTCTTTCTATCTCTGCAAATGGTAGAAATGTATCAGAAAGTTTTTAAAAATTCTAAGTTTAACAAAATATAAAAGTAATTAGCTTGTTATAGTCGTGTTTTGTGATTAAAACAAAAAATAATACAAATTCCCTCAATATCTCTGGAGATACAATTTTGACCAAAAACAGTTAACATTTTTCAGTCTAAGGAATGGAATCCTTAGAGTAAGAAAACATTTACATTTATATTTAAAATAAACTGAACTTTAATTAAATTAAYTCCATTGGATTAACCAAAGAGTGGTAATGATAAATTTCAACACTACTAGAAATAGACAGCTAGATTAACTCTTTCTGTTGAAGGGGAATGAAGAGAAGGGAGGGGAGATAGGAATAAGAAAGAYAGTAGAATGAATCTGACATACTCTCCTATGTACATATATGAATACACCACAGTGAATCTCAACATCATGTACATCCACAAGACTGGRATYCTAATTAGAATAAGATACATACCATGTTTTTATAAATATATCAAAATAGATTCTACATATATAACTAAAAAGAACAAATAAAATTTTAAATAAAAGATAAAATCTTGCTGTATGTTTTGACCTGCCATCCTGTATGTTTAGAACCTGCCATCCCATATCTCRTACCACAAGTGTATTGGAATGAAAAAATGATCTTAGTTCCAAGACAAACAAAGAAGTATAAGCTTTTTCCTGTCTTTTCTATACCTTGTGATTGTTTCCTTTCCTCTATTGTGTATAAACCATATTTCCTCCCATAGTAAACATATTTGATCATTTCTTTGATGTATGGAGTAGTAACTAAAAATTATCTGACTTTTCATTTTTGTAGCCCAGGATAGCTCTAGAAAACTCAGGGTTCCACTGAACTCAGAAGCAAATCCATCAACATCCTTCTGCTTACCTTGGCAAACACTCTTGTAGTTAGCACAGCAGTCTTGCTTCAGCAAACAGTCCTCTGCACAGGAGCAAAGACTGGCCACCTTTCTGCTTTCCCCACAACGAGATGAACTGCATGACCATATTTGAGCTGTAAAATTATGCAATTCAGTTCTGGGCATTTATCTTAAGTATCCAATTCAAAAGGTACAAATGTGATGCATTTCTCCATGTGTTATTATAAAACAGTCAAATTCTTGGATTATCTGCATTAACAAATGAAAACATATCATACAAAGAAGAAGCAATCTATTTCTTAGCATGAAGGCAGAGATAAATGCAGCCCTATAAGCTGCAACCCTGATCCCCTCACAGATGCACTCTGAGTTTAGAAAAGCTCTAAACATGGGTCCTATTTCCACCCAAGGGTAAAARTTTCCCATGGTGAAACTCCATTAGTCTTGACTAGTCATGGCTACCCAAGAACAGCTTTGTCTAGCCTTGTCTAAGGACAGCCAGCTAGGAAAAGACAGTGGTGATAATAATTCAAGGAGCATATCATTCATGTCTTTAGGACCACAGGCAAGTCAGATAGAAGTGGTGGGACAACTCCAACTACACCTTTGGTGTTCTTCCAGGCTTTGTACTTAGTGTGAGAGAAGTTTAAATAAATCCCGTTGCTAACATCAGCATGAAGCTGAAGGAAAGCTGCTTCCCATTGCCACCTGCTAGGAAACAATGACTAAAATCAACATCAGCCTGTGCTTAAACAAACACGTTGGATAGGTGAATGCTGTGTGTGTCCACTGTGCATAGAGTTCTTCATTTCCAGTCATTTATTACTTAGAAAGAAAAGATCTGGGGAGATAAAGTAAAGGGAGTGCAGATAGCTATCTATAGAGAGTTATCCCCTCCCTTTTACACTTTTCAGAGAACATAATGTAAAGAATTCTACTATTCTAATCTTCACTCTTATCCAACTACCAGCTGCCCTCCACCTTCCCTGACTATTTAGAAAATTAAATACTAAAACTATGTTTTCTATCTGGTGGATAGTGTTTCTCAAATTGTGCTTTKAGAAGTGCTGGCAGCAGAATGATTAAGAATTATAATTTTCAAATCTTAAGAACCTTGAAATTTAAAACCAACTGCAAATGAAACTAAGATGTTTATCTCAAGCTATAGTAAAATCTACTGGGATTTACATAACTACATGGTATTTCATCCTGTAAATAGTTGTCCTTTGATTTCRATCAACTAAAGTGTGGACTCTGTTGATCTATAAAGGGTGATTGGTAGTAAGACTCTGTATAAAAGGTGGTATGGAGTGAATTGTGCTCCTAGAACGATGCTGAAGTCCTAACCTCCAATATCTCTGAATGTGATCTTATTTGGAAATGTGTCCAGATTACACACAGATAATCAAGTAAAATGAAATCATCAAGGTTGGTCCTAATCTAGTATGACTGATGTTCTTATAAAAAGGAGAAATTTGATACAGATACACACAGATACAAGACTGTGTGAAAAGACACAGATTTTGTGAAGATGAAAATTGAGTTTGGAGTTGTGCCACTACCAGCGAAGGAATGCCACCAACCCACCAGAAGCTAGAGGACTGGCAAAGAAGAGATTATCCCTCACAGCCTTCAGAAGGACTTCCAATATCTCGATCTTAGACTTCTAGCTTCCAGAAACTTCCAGACAATGGATTGCAGGTTTTTAAACTACTAGGTTTGTGGTACTTTGTTGTGGCAATGCTAGGAAACTTGTACACAAGGCATGTAGGTAAAAATTTGGATATGCATTAATGATAACACAATCAAGGTGATAATAAGCTTTTTTTGAAACTCATACTTGATTCCACACAGACGCTTATAAAGTCCCAGCAGCAATCCATTCGGTCTCTACACCCTTCATCACACCGGCAGCCCAACTTTCCTCTAAATGATGAATCAAAGCATTTTCTCCTGCAGCTCTCTGTAAAACAAAGGACATAAAGATGGTACTATTTAAAAGTTAACCTGTATCTCATTCGCAGATGGTAAAAACACATAAATGTACTTAGCACAGGCTAGCACAAACAAATTAGATGCTTTTTATGTTCAGTATTATCTGCCAGTGAACTGTGTTAAATAATGAGACACTGGTATTACAAGGAACACATGGAAGCACACAGTGAGTGAGATGATTCCATTGAGTCTTGGGAAAGGGATCAGGATTATTTAAGCAAAGAAAGGCCAATTCGGAGAACAGCACATAAGACACAATGGCTGAGGGGTAGGATTAAAAGGTAAAGATGGGGAGAGGAAAGCTACAAAGACCATATTAAAGATGCTTGAAGCCCAAACTTTGGTAATGAGAAGCTCTTAAAGAATAAGTAGAGAACAAGTAATTAGATCTGTGTTTTATGTACTTATTCTGGAAAATAGGTGAAAGAAGACACCTCTCTGACCAAGACATTCAAAACCAAAATGATAAGGGCCTAAAGAAGATTGTAGCAGTAGAAACAAAGAACTTATAAATGAGCTTTCAGAGAAATTAGAGTGCAGCTAAGAGGAGGGCAGATTTATATAAAGAGTGAAGAAGGAGAAAGAGGCAAGAATGCCTTCCAAGATGTTGGGCAAGGACCTGAAGGAAGGTAAGGTCAGTTTTGCTGGACATCCAAGCAGACAGATACCCAGAAGGGAATCTGTATATTTGGATCTGAAGCTCAGAAAAGAGCGAGATAAAAATAAAGACACTAATTTTTGGAGTCCTCAGTATRTTAGCAATAATAAGCAATGAGAACACCATTGTCACTGTGAAGTCCTCATTAAAAAGTGTGTACCCAGCTAAATACAATTTCTCCTTGCCATGAATTCCTATTGATGCTTTTTACCTATAATTTTCTGTGATACTCATTACTCCCTTTGTACCCCATTGAAGGCAAGGAGGATATACATGGTAAGACTGGGGCAATTCAACTATGTGTACCTTGTCCCCATCTCTTGAAAACCATTACATAGTTTTAAATTTATATGTTTATTTATTATATACATATTAGTTTAGAATCATTATGTTCCCTAGTYATTGAGATAAAATGATAAATAATGCAGATAGTTATAGAGACTTTATAGTAATAAAATATTTTTWAAAAATGGTAGTGATAGGCCCAGGTACRTTGGCATATTCTTGTAATCCCAGTGACTTTGAGAGGCTGAGGCAGAAGGGTCAAAACTTCAAGATCAGCCTCAGCAACTTAGTGAGGCTCTCAGCAACTTATCAAGGGCCGGTCTCAAAATAAAAAAAAAAAAAAAAAGACTGAGGATGTAGCTAAGAGGTAAAGTACCCCTGGGTTCAAAACCCAGTACCAAAAAAAAAAAGAAAGAGAGAAAGAAAGAAAAAAAAAGACATAGTAGTGACAAAGCAACGGTGAATACTACATGGAATTAGGACAACTAGTTAGCTATATGGGGAGAGAAGACACCTCAATATTCTTACCTAATGACAAGTACAAAAATTAATATTAGAGGCCTAACAAAATATAAATGTCTCAGGAGTCAAGTTTCATTTTTAAATGCATAAGAGAGGTGAAAGAGGAGGAAGATCAACATGAGAGGCACAGAAAGTAAGGGCCCTCACATAATGTAGCTCCTCAACTCAGACTCCAAAGGAGACAAAAYAGAACTCATATGCTTTTCAAAGTTCTAAAACAGAAGTTTATTTAGCTTTTGAGAAAYGAGGTCATTTTTCACTAATAAATTAATGAGATATGCTGTTGTTCATGTAAATGTATAACATCTATGAAGGTTACATGATGACTTGAAATAAAGGGCTTAAAATGTAAATTTAAAAAAGAAAAAGATAAAGGAAAGAAAAAAAGTAGCACTCCAGACYCAAAGACTCACAAGCTAGAGGAATTTAGTGGTGACTTTGGTATCAAAACAGACACAGGGCTAGGGTTATGGCTTAGTGGTAGAGTGCTCACCTAGCACATGCAAGGGCCTGGGTTCAATCCTAAGCACCACATAAAAATAAATAAATAAAATAAAGGTATTTTGTCCAACTACAAAAGAAAACAGCCACAGAGGAAGACAGTAGGATGAGAAAAGGAACAAGYCTTACTGTGAAATCTAAACAGACAGTCAGAAGACCTTTTAGGAGAGCAGGATGGCATGTGACATGAGATAGAAATCAAAATAAATAAGAGAAAACCTTGGTTAACAAGGAAATGACACAGGAGGCCAAAGAGTTGAGATACACGCACGCACACACACACACACACACACACACACACAATTAATATTCAGATCCTCTAAAGAACATATTCCACAAACACAAAAGTAAACTACAATAAAAAGAAAAACACCATTCAGCATGCTCTCAGAAATAAAAATATAACAGTAGCAATGAAAACCATAGCAGAGGCATGTGGTAGGCACAATTAAGATCYTCAAGAGGACTCCATATCCTAAGCCCTGCTACCAAGAAGTTGTTGACTTATATAATAAATGAACTTTACAAATTCATAGGCTACTAATTAACTGATCTCCTGGAAGCCAAGAACAGAATGGTAGTTAATAGAGGCCGAGGTAAGTAGGAGGGAGAGAGGGAAASGGAAAAGTTGATCATTAGGTACTAAGTTACAATCAGAACCAAGAAATTCTGGAGTGCTATTGCACAGTAYAGTGATAACTGATAAGAATAATTTCCTGTATATTTGGGAAAACTAGAAGACAGGACTTTGAATGTTTTCACCATAAGGAAATGATAAGTGAGAAGTTAGCTAGGTTTACCCTGATTTGAACATTATACAATACGTACATGTATCAAAACATCACATGGTACCCMAAAATATGTACAATTTGGGTGTTTTTATGCACTAGTTAAATTTTTTRAACTAAAAAAAGGGTATACCTCAAAATGTAAACAACAAATGAAGATGATATTATTTTTAAAAGCTGCAAAATTGATTAGACAATAATGTTTGAGCAGCAAACATTATTACATCAAATTGCCTACCAAGTTTCCCTGGGGAAAGTTCACATGAAGAGATCAGTAAGGTTAAGAGATGTTAAAGATCCTAGAGAGATCATGAGCAATTTAAAAATGATTACAAATTAGAAAAGCACCAAATTTCTTAAAAGCAACACTGCAAACGAAGAGACTAAAAGGTAATGTCTTCAAATCTACAGAGGAAAATTATTTTCATCTTAGAATTCAATATCTAGGCAACCTACCCAATGTTAGATTAGGATGTCAAAGATGCATTTAGATAGGCAAGGACTCGAGTTTTATCTTCTATGCATCCTATCTTAGGAAGCTACCAAGGACATTCTGTAGTAAAATCAGGAAGTAAAGCAAGAAAAGGAGACTTAATGAACACAATCTGCAACAAAACGGACAGGCTGATATTAGAAAACACTAGCCATATACCAAGCCCAAAAAGCAACCAACATGGATGTGATTAACAGGACAATGAAAKAAGTTAAAATAAAAGATATTAGTCTATAAACAAACTTTTTGTGGTCAAAAACATAATGCCAAGGGTTGGTGGTAATGYGTGATAAAGGTAGGGTAGGCTGTGGAAAGTGGGCTAACTGGAGTGAAGAATGGTGAATACTATCCAGAGGTGGAGCTTAGAGGAACAGAGGTGGTAGAAGATAAATAATAAAGGGGATAAAGATGCTAAATGCTAAGGAATATTAAAAAGGATGAATATGGCAAAAGAGAAGCTAGGAGAGGGAAGAGAATAATGCCACAAAAAGACTGAGATGGAGGAAGAGAAAAAGGTAAAATGACCCTGGGCAGTCAACCAGTACTGAAGAAAGAGTGTGAGTGAAAGAGCTGARAGATTTTATTCAGAGATTAATACATGCCTTTTGCAATAAATTTACACAATTTTGAAGATAAACTTGTCAAGAAATGATGCCCATTTTTGARCACTTACATCAGCAAACTACTACTAAAATGGCCTGCCAATATTCATTAGAGTAAGGACTAGCACCACTGCTTAGAGACACCACAGTCAAGTGAATAAGAGAGGACAGTGATGTTCCAGTTAATATTTGCATTTCCAATTTTACTGGATTCCCATATTATAAAGGGGAACAGAGTATTAATTCTCAAGTGAAAGCCTGACCAGAAAGTTGTCAGTTGACCTCTCTAAGTGGTCCCCTACTGAAAAGCACCAACACTTTCCCCTSGGAGTTAAGATAGAAGTTATCAAACGACAGAAAATGCTTTTTAGAGTCACTCATAAATGGTGTGTTTATTAGGCATACTAATGGGATACAGAAAAATGGATGTGAAGTGTTTATATTTGGGGGTATGCATTTCCTATTTTTCTTTGCTTCTTATGAAACAAAATTTTCAAAGTTTTACTATATTTCATCACATAATTGTCACTACCACATTAACATACATTCATAAGTATCCCATTCATCCTAACCTTGAACCATAGACAGCTTAGTAATAAATAAATTCTAAGTAATAGGGGAACAATGAAAAGAGAAATTTCAGAAGAAAAAAAAAGCTTTACATAATGGTCACACCCCACTTTTTTGCAAAAAGAAAAATTAGCATAAAATCTGCAAATAMTATGTGTGAAACAGAGCATTATACACCACTTTTCAAGATTTGGCACTGCATAACCAAGATATAATAAGATTTCAGAGATGGAATAATATTAATATGGTATCAAGGTACAGGACAGGTGGCAGGAGGTCCTAGGGGTAGGACAGCAAAGGCTTCCAAGTCCAAGAGGCTGTACATTTTGTCATCAGATATATACAATTACAGTAGGAGTAGAWCAGAAAGTCTGTGATCAATTATCAAAGTTCTCTGTACTAGAATAATACTTGTGCAGGAGCTTTTGTGTGAGGRCAGAAGAATAAAGTCCAGAAATGATAGTGGACAATGTTAAACACAGATGGGGATTCCTGGGGAGTGAGGTATGAGAAGGGAAAGGACTGGAAGGAAAACTAGGCATAGAGGAGAGAAGAAACTTGGGTGAAGACAAGTTTTTAATGGATTGAGGCCAGGAGAAACAAGAAATAAGAGAATGTTTGGGGGGAAAAGAGAACAAAAGGCTGACTGGTATACCTTCATTGTCTTGTGCCCTGAGTCCAAGTCCCAGGCCTAATCCAAGTGACAAGATCACCAACAAAGCAAGAAGAACCTATTACAAAAAAGGAAAAGCCACCTTTATAATTTTTTTTAAATATACAAAGTTATAAATAACCACAGTCACAGTGAATATTAAATATCCACAACATTTGAGATCCAATAATGATAGAGGTACATTATTTGTTTAATCACCCCAAAGAAGAAAGATTTATAAAGAGTTTTAAAATACCGTTTATTGTATATCTCCATGTCCAAACACTTTCATAGTTCAAATAAAATGAGCTTAACCCCAAATTAAATTAATTGAGAATTAAAACCATAAGAYCCATTTGCCTTTGCCATTTTTCTTTTTTCTTGTGTTTCTTTTTAAATTTTATTTATTCCAGTAGGGGATCTCACTACATTGCCCAGGATGCTCTCAACTCATGGCTTCCAGCAATCCTCCTACCTCAGCCTCCCAAAAAGCTGGGACTATAGGCACACACCACCACACCTGGCTTCATTTTCTGTTTTAACTAGGCATCGTGGAAATCATTTCTAGTAAGGCACTCCAGGATTCAGCACATGTGTTGTTATGGAAACTTAACTTGGCAGGGGAAGAATTGACTGTTGAAGGGGGACTGATTTCCACACAATAATAACAAAGCAAGAACTCAAGGGACAGTGGGGTGGTGTTGAAACTGAGGCAGCAAATAGAAGACCTGTTTCCCCAAAAGTTTGATGGTGAAGGGAAAAAACAGAGCAATAAAATCAGAGCTTTTTATTTTATTCATTAAGACAAAGGTGATCCTGCCACATAAAAAGACAAGAAYGAGAAGACAGACAAAAAAAGACTTTCTCTAGAATTTAATTAAATTAGGATAAAATCAATAGTTTTAAAAAAACGGTATGATTATTTAGTATCTCACCCTCTGGCCTTAAAATGTTCATGCAATAAACAAGTGACTTGGGGAGTAATTGTAATCACTCGAGAAAGTCAGTGCTGCAAGGTTTCTGTTTAGCTTTTAATTAAACATTAATGTATGGTTACTCAAATTTCTTACTTGTAGAATATGATTACAAATGTTAACTTGCATTGGAGTTGTCATAGGAATSAAGCTGAATTTTAGCATTTGTCATAAAGCTAGAAAGCTAAAATTAAGAACTGTACTTACGATACAAATTATTTTGTATTTCTTGACAGTGTTCTTCTTAGCAGGTTCTTCYGTTGCTAAAGTTAGCATAGAATCCGTTGTTCCAAACATTGCATAAACCTGTTTGGCCAGAAGAGAGTGGTGTTCCTTCTTTCCTCTAGTCTGTAAAGAGAAACCATACTGAGTTACATAGCTGTGCCTGACTTTTAAAGAGCTCAGCTCTTTAGTGATTGTGCAATCTAGAGAGGATAAAAATATTATAGTAATTGTAGTGCCAAAAGGTTCAAGTCTGTTACTAGGACATTGTTTACAACTGTCCTTTTTCTCCTTATAATTCATAGTAAATGCTAATCAAGATCTATGTAATGAGAATGATATAATAATCAGATTTGAATACAAGCTTATCATTTATTTTCTTTAAAAATAACTCCAAACAACTCTTGTTATAGGTAGTTTCTACGTTTTTATATATACTTCATGCTACACAGTCAAAAACTAACATTAAAAATATGATTTTGACTATAGYAGTAATTCTGAATTTATACTGAACCAATATAAACTGCTTAATTCTTTGAAAATTATGTCTCGTATTTTACAGTGCTCAAAATTGAAGACACATTTTGAAACACATTATCTCACATTAAACTTGACAATATTCCTTCGAGTCATTTTATTCCTATTTCTTAGATGAGTAAATTAAGGCTCTCATTATTTAAATTATATGACTTATTTGTCCAAAGTCACATATTTAGTAAATTCCAGAATTACAAATTAAACCCATCTTCAAACTCCCTAAATCTAAGATAATTTTCACTAATTGACTAAACTTACTTTCTTATTAATATAGACCAGGGCATCTTAATACATGCACTATGTGCTGAGACGAGGTTACAGGTTTATGATGTGAGGAGCTAAATTAATAGCAGGATGCCAAAAAGCACTAAGCTCTTCTATTTTCAATGACCCTAAGCCAGTGATTTTCAGTGTGGTACCATGGAACATTGATCCCATGATAACTGCCTTGGTCAAATAAACCTTGAGAACACTTCTCAAATGTAAAGATTATAAAATTCCCATATGCTGCAGTATATCCTTTGGAAAACACTAAGTAAACTTTTTCCAACCCCAAAAGTAGTGAAAATAAACAAATTTATTTATCTATTGTAAAATGCTTCATAAATGTTAAGGACATTCTGGAAAACATCTAAATCCCCTTTTTTCTGTTATTGAAGTAAGTCCTTTAGGAAAAAATCTGCAGCATGAGAGCCAGGTTTCCTTGTATGGCTTTGAGGGTTGTGATACTTTCTATCACTCTTATAGTCCAACCTGCCCATCACTTCACCAACTCTACCAACAAGCCTACTCAGCAGAAGCACTGGCATTAGTTGCTGAAACAAAAGGAATTGTTTGAGAACTATAAGATTCCACAGAGAACATCAAATCCAGGGTCTTGAACACTTTTTTCCAGGGACCCCAGTGAATTGTCAGGTTAAACAAACAAAAATACATTGGAATACTGTTAGCATAAAGTTCTTCACACTGGATAGCTTATTAGCATTCAGAGACAGGATTTTTGTTGCTGTTGTTATTGTTGTTTGTTTGTTTTCTGATTCTGAAGCCCAGACTCTTTGGGTTGAATTAGAACTTTCCATAGTTTTGCTAAGTCTTCAGAATTTTTAAAAATATCCCTCCAAGTGATATTTTATGCAGTAAAGGTCAGTCTAAATACTTTGCCTTAAATAGTGCATTTTAAAATTCTCTTAGGCAAACATTCACTCTATGCTAATCAAACTTGCATATATTACAGGTAAGTTCACCCAAGGGGCTTGGTCATCTGTGCAAGATCTCCTTTTGGTGATATTTCAGAAGTGAGATACCGCTTCAGAGAGTCTTATTGTTGTGTCATACTGATTTTATAAAAGAATGATGAAGCCTATATCAAAATTTGCTTCAAAATTAGGGAACCCCCAGGACCCATGGTTTTTATCTAGTCATCTGTCATATGCTTTAAGTTCTTGTGGGCTTCTCGAGTATCTGAACTTGTGACATTCTTTCTGCTCTGCCTTAAGCCTGATTCCTGAGGCTYCTACTTTTATCTTCCCCCCTGTGAAGGCTGTTTGTGTCAACTTGGTTAAGCTACAATAGTCAGTTATTTAATCAAACACAAATCTASGGTGTTGCTATGATGATATTTTATAGATGTGGTAACAACTATWATCAGTTGACTTTAAAAATTATCATTTATTATGTCAGTGGACCTCATCTAGTCACTGGAGGACTTTAAAAGTTGAATTTATCAGATAAGAAATTCTATCTTATGACAGCAGCATTAGCCTGTGGTTTCAGCCTACCAGTCTCCATTGCCACCTCATTCTCTGTCCTTTGGAGTTTGGACATACCAGTCCCCACAGTCAGGTGAGCTGATTCCTTGATATCAATGTTCCACTCTATCTTTCTCTCTCTTTCTGTCCCTGATCCAGAGACTTTGTTCGCTTATTTTTTCTTGGAAGACTTTTATTAGTGGTGGTAACATGGTCCTTACCTTATATACCTAGCTTTATGCTTGCCACTCATCTTAAGTAAATGAAGGGAACATATAAGTAGCTGAAAATATAAAGAAAATAATAAGAACGACTGAATCAAGAGTCAGGAGAGTGGTTACATCTGGGAGGAGGGAAGGGGATATCACTAAGTAGGGGTACACATTGGGATTCTCTGTTTTTGGCAATGTTTTCCTTCCTTCCTCCCTTCCTTTCTCATTTTCAGTCCTGGGGTTTGAACACATGCTAAGCAAGTGCTCTACCAGTAAGCTACATTCCCACTACTTTTTATTTTATTTTGATATAGTCTAATGTAAATTGCCAGGCTGTCTTCAAACTTGTGGTCTTCCTGCCTCAGACTCCTGAGTAGCTGCAGTTATAGGCATGCACCAACATGCCCTCAATGCCTCATTTCTTAATCTCATGAAAGCACACAGATATTTGTCTTATTATTATTTTTAAAATTATATATATATTAGCATATATTAGCATATATATTATTGGTATGCTCATCCTTACATATAACTGAYTTCATGATTAAAAATAAGAGTATTCTCAAAGATGCTTTTTACCTCTAATGCTAACACCTAAGATTCATATTGCCGAGTCCTGCAAAATGCCTCCCTGACAAAAGGCACAACCAGATTTTAACTATGAGGCAGATTTCACTACATTGATTGTTAATGTCATGAAAGTTGCCAAAAGGAAAGTAGGTAGGCAGTTTTATGGGTCTAGACTCCTTGTATGCTCTACATGGGAATACTGTGAGGATGGAGAGGAGAGTCACTAAGCAATTCGTATTTCACTCTCAAAAGACCAAGTGAAAATAGTGAATGATAAATATGTCCATAAAAGAAACACCTTTGCAAACTGAAATTCTAAACAAAGTTGACATTCTGTCATATATATTATAGAAGCAAAAATGAATACTCAAAGATAACATGACTAGTTATAAAATTATAGTATCTCCACTAAACCATTCAACATATTTTGGAATATTTAACCATGAAATGCCATTTGAAACTTGAAGTATGCAATTTTAAGATAAAAGGAAACAAGTTCTCTGTGTTTTTATATAATCAATGAACCTGTGGAACTTTTGCCAAACAGGACAACACAGGTTAAAAACATAAATTAGTTCTAGAACAGTTTCAAATAAAATTATGAACATACCACCTACCACACTATTCAACATATGTAMCAAGAGATTAGGAATACAAAATATATTTTGTCAATTGGTAGATTCTGATATAATCCCCTCTGGTGTTGAGAAACGAATGTGACCCCATTTTTGAAGAAAACAGTCTCTACCTCAGAGCAAGGCCTGTCCAAAGGGGTAGGGGGTGACCAAGCGTTCCTAAATTCCAGGAAAGGCCTGTGGAACCAGATACCTCTAACTGTAGTGACCAAATAGCCTTGACTCAGCAATGCAAGACCAAAAACCTAATGTCGAACCATAGCAACAACCAATCAGAATGAGACAGGGAAAATATCTGAAATGTCAGGTGACCCTCCCATTAGTTTTGGTGATTAATAACATGATTAGGTAACCCTGCAAGTTTAGCGCATACACCCCTCACGCCTAAATCAATCAGTTCAAATGTATCCACCACTTGAACTAACCAATCACCCTTACCCAACTCGTTCCCACCAGTGAACGTGCTAATCAATGTTAAGAATTCTTGTTTGATTTTCCCGTGGTATGAAATGATTTTCTGTGTGATGTTGTGATGCACAGAGTATCCCCCAAAAACCTATAAATCCTCACTGAACTAAGGGTCAGGACTCACTCCTCAGGACTCCTGCGTCTGAAACAGTGAGTCCAGGCTCAAGCTTGCAATAAAGACTCTTGTGTGATTGCATCGGATTTGGCTCCTGGAGGTCTATTGGGGGTCCCACAAATCTGGCATTACAGTGTCCATTCAAATGGCTAGAAAGGCCAATGAGTCAACTCAAAATGAGAACACTAACATATTCTTTCACACCAATTGAGAGAATATTACATATTATATATGGCCAACTTTCCCCCAAAACATATATGGAGATGAAAGAGGTATATATTTTTTAATATTTAAAGGATTTCAAGATTGTATACTAATAATACAGCTAAAATTTATGATAAATCCTGAATTGTTTTTGTAGGAAGAGAAAGAAAAAGAGAGAGAGAGAGAGGAAGAGGGGAGGAAAGAAGGAAGAGAGGAGGAAGGAAGGGAAAGAGAATAAATAAAAAATGCAAAAGAGGAAGGAACTTGATTGAATGTTTTACATCCTCTTATCAATGAGGGAAGACACAGGGAGGGAGGAGAAGGAAAGAGAAGAAGGAAGGGAAGACAGAGAGGAGTAAAGAAAGAAAAAGAAAGAAAAAACAAGAAAATTCTGAACACAAACATTGGGACAAATAACCTCCCTGAGTGAGCTCCCTGCTGCAAGTTAATCTTTTCATKGAAACAGTTGGTGTCCAGTGCAATCAGGAAATACTTCTAAAACAAAAGTGGAATCTGGGAGTACTTACAATGTCAGACTAAAAAAAGTATGCACAACTCATTCAAGAACTTTGTCCGCTGGGCCAAGAGGTATCTGGGCTACCACTGGCCTTCCAGGTGCCTTGGACCCAAACCATTG